TTAAACTTCCATCTTTGTCGTGTATTTCACTTTTTTGTTTAATTGAAAATCTCGATGCGCAGCAGCCTCACCACATCTGAAACAAAGAATCCCTTTTTAACTCAATTGGTCTCTGGTTGTGCAAAAAGAACTCGTTGATTTATAAGCAGTTGTTTTGAAGATTGAGGYAATGCTGAATACTTTTTGAATAAATTTAAGTTATTTTTATATTTTTGTTTGTTTGTTTTAAATCGTAAAAATGTGTAAAAACTCATTAATAAGATATAAGATATGAATCACCATTTCCAACTGAAGTTGGGGTAAATATCAATTTATATAAAAGAACATCTTCTAGGCATAGACCTAATTACCGAAAGTGTTCTGTGGAACTGAAAACCAGACCTTTGTATCTTCTCTCTGAATTCGTCCTTACTTTTCGGTTTAAGGGCTACAATACTTTCCTTAACAAAAAGTTTTAAAAGTTTTTGATGAGATTCAGATCGCCCGATTACTCTTCCTAAGCCATAATGCTAGCAACCTGATCTGAAAGCCATTGCCTGCAAGAAACAAGGTATATTTCGGGTCGTTCTCTTCTTTCAGCATATGGAAGTATGACCTTATCTAAAACTTTAGCGTATATGTCGCGGTCTATGTCTTCTTGTATCCAAAAAATTGGTCCCGCATTACAAAATGAGAAACAATGCTAATCCATTATATTGCCCCCACAGGGTTTGAGAACCTAGTCGTATAGCAGACGCACATTTTTTTTCGGTCGTAAGACTCACGCGCAACTATCATTTCCTATCCATTTTTTCTTAATTTTCAGCTCCGCCGTAATTAATGTGTCGTTTTGCAAACTCAATACGATTGCATCTATGCTGTTTTCTCAGCATTGGCACCTTTCGGGACCATGTGTCGAAGTAATTTTTCACCACAAGTCGTCTTCTTACTGTTCTTGAAGAAATTTTTGCACATAATTCTTATTGAATGGCTGCAGAGGCCTTTAATGGTGCGCGCAGCGGCAATCATGCAATATTTCGAATGACTTGCGCAGTTATTTTTTTGTAGTCGGCCTATTTTGTTTACCTTTTTTTTGGAAATTTAAGGCATCAAACACAAATATTTGAGACATATTTCGTATGTTTACTATTTGCTTTTACGCATGACTAATTCCTGTCAAAGGCAATATTACGATTTTTTTGGCGCCGCGATTTGATGGTACGGATGGTTAGAGGAGGTCTTCAAGATTAAAAAATGTACACACATATTCCCAGACTCGTAGTTTTCGAGATATTTCTATCTAAAGTTCAAAAATGTTTAAAAACAATGCTCGTTATTTCACTATGGTTAACCCACTTTTCGCAAATTTTTTAATTGATATATATTTAATTACACTGTACATATTCAAATACAGAAAAACTTTACACTAATTGTGTATTTTTTAAGAAATGAAATATACTTTAAAAACTAACTGTGTTGCCATACTTTATGAACTATTGTTTCAAATATTTATATGGATTATATGCCATAATAAATAGAAAAAACTTATTATAGAATGTAAATTTTTTCAGTATTTCTCTCCGTGACTACGAACACCCCGGTGTTGGACCGACCAGGGTTCTTTTTTTTTTTTTTTTTTTTTTTTTTTTTTGTTTATAAACAATTTTTTTTTTTTTTTTTTTTTTTTTGTAAGCGCGGCCGAAGCCCGCTGTGCAGAAAGTAGTTCGACACAAACGAACTATAAACACCTCAGTGATTTTTTGGTAATTTTTTCAAAACATAATATGTGGCAAAACTGATATTTGTCATGTCATGTGATTAAAAATAAAATGAGAGTGAATTGCATATAAATTGTGGAACTTTAAATACAAATATCTCGCAAACTATAAGTCTGAGAAGGGTGTATGAGTGTACATTTTTTAATCCACAGATCATCCTCTTTCAGATTATACCCTCAAATCGCGGCGCCAAAAGAACCATAATCGTACCCTTTCAAATTTTGGACGCACAATCTTTCCTGCTCTGAACAATGTTTTGCTCAACCCATATTTTTAAATAAATTCATAATTGATACAATTATTTATTCCACAGATCTAATTAAGTTAATATAACTACTTTTTACGCTTTTTAAACTCAATATTTTTCATTTATAAAACCATTTCGCTATTGATTCTATTATTTTGTCACTAASCACGATATTTACACTTTCTAAACTGTACTYGACAATACAATATTTTCCTCTTTTTTAAAAGTACATATTATTGCCCTTGTTTTTATGCAGAAAAATTACTACTTAAATGAAAAATTTCAAAAAAATTATGCCAATGTTTCAAGGCAACACCTTTGATTCTATTTTATTGTAACGCAAGATAATCTTGTCTAAGCGTAAGTTTCTAAATATTCAGATAAAAGAATAATGATTATGGCAAATACGTACAATATGTATATATACATATATACATGTGGTTTTAACACAATTTCTTCAATTTTATATTTTGAATACGGTAAAATTTAACGACAGTTCAATGATATACATATATACATATATAGCTTAATACACAGAAAATCAACTTTTCTGAATTTTAAAATTTACTTATATCTAGTTAATAGTTGCTTATTGTTATTTAATAATCGGAAAAGTTCATTGTGATCAACGATCTTCACTCAAAATCATGACTATTACCATTGATTCCGCAGCAAAAGTTGTAAGTACTTCTGTTGCTTCTGTTTTAATTTCGAGCATATTAACCGGCTTAATTATTGGCACCTCCATTTCTTCCTCCTCCTCCAGTATACACGTGCGCATATAATACAGTGTAGGCTAATTTTCATACAACAGTGCTCCCCAATCAGCTTTTTGTCAGGAAGCGAGAAAATTATACCACCACTCTCTTTATCCAAGTTCACAAAGTCTTCCCGTAATAACTACCTGTTTTCCAAAATCAACAAGAAATCCCAGCAACGATGTACACAACCATTACAGAACGAATCAATCCTTCTCGCTCGCACTAATTATTGTGGCTGTTGGCCATTGGCCTTTTCCATTCTTCGCTCGTAAATCAATCACAGAAGGCGGAGCAAACCAGTAGTGCGACCGCAAAAGCAGTATTTTCGAAACCTGGTAAGTGCATGTCATCGCGCTCACACCAACAACTTCTGCGTACACAGTCAATTTAATTTACGATTTTCGAATCTCATCGCCATTCATTGTTGTACAAAGAAGCAGACGTTCTCTTTGGTGAATCACGGTGTACAAGTGCTTTTACCAACTTGTAGAATTTGCTGCTCAATTCCAACGCGGACTTCGAACGGGGAGCTTGCGCGTATTTCAATTGTTTTTGTTACCGATTGTGTTTCTTGTTGGCGTCGCATTTATCGTTCGGTATTAAAGCCGCGATTAATTTATATATTAAGTTACTAAGACGCATGTGTCGTGGCGAAAATATTAAGTTTTTCTGATGGGAAAGCTATTTATGAACAGCAATAACACATTTTCGAAACTACTAAAGATGAAAATAAAACTGGTAAAATTTTTAAATTTAAATATTACCAGGTAGAAAGTGAATTTCAATTCTGATATTAAACATACATAAAAGCATCAACGGCAGAAAATTTTAAATTTAAAAGAAAATACTACATTTTAACTACATACATGTATTAAAAGTTTGGTCGGAAGAAAAATATCAATGTGACATCTACTGCATTATATTGCAATGCAAATGGCTTTTCAATAACGATTTTGAGTGCACAAATGTACATCTATTGTTATTGACTATGAGTGACTAATCAAACTTCTAAACACCCTGTTTGCTGAGATAATGGCTATATGTCAGTAGTAAGCACCGTCTGAAAACGTTAAATATTAATTTGAATACCTATGACGGTGGGAAATGACTCTCTGAAAATAGATTGTATAAACAGTAATATTTAAAACATATTTAGAAAGGTGCATATCAATTTTTTTAAAACACAGAATTATTGTTCAGTATAACCGAGACTAAAATTTAACTTTTAGTGTAATTTTACTTATACAGCCATATTTATTGTTGTAAGATTTTTCCAATATAATTCCTATATACACATACATGTATATACTTTTATGATTTTATTCTCTAATCGAAAACGGCTTAGCTCCACAATTTAAATATTCGCAAATATTGAATGTGATCCTTCAAATGATGCACACCTTCACATTTATTACTTGTGTACGTATACAGCACATGTATGAATAAAACACGCATAGACATTGTGTGATAATCGAAAAATCTAAATTCGAAAATGAAGCAGACAAGCATAATTGAGTATGAATTCACGTACTGAGCATAGTATCTAAGATCGAGAACTAAAATACATACATATACACGTGTATATGTATATAGAGGAAGTCATATAAATTGAGAATCTCAACGCAGGCATTTGCTCTTTATTTTCGAAATCGACAATTTCTGGTTTCGCAGAATTTATTATTCGAATAAATGTACGTATGGACATGTAGACAAACACCACAAATAAAGGCATATCAATTCAATTGAGACAAGCGCTGGTTCACCACATATCATACATGTACCCATGTACAAACAACCACATACTCACAGACTCGAGTCGGCGGGTAGGCCAAAAGACATTGCCTTGGCTTCTTTCTGTACCAATGCGAGTGAGCGCAATGGACGAGCCAGCTCGACCGAAGTAGCCAGGTTGGCATTGGCAGCGCCGTTTCAATGTTGTTATCTTCGTCTTTTATTTTACTGCTATAGAGGGTCGGGCATTCGTCTACGTTGATTCGAATATTTCCATTTTTGCTTGTTCTTAATTTTTTCGATATAAATTTTTTCTCAGTTTTTTATACTCTCCGACCTTTTATAAATAATGTAATGCATTTTATTCAATCCTACTCCCCGCTTCTGCTATAACGAGCGCTCTTTTTCTCATACTCACTTGTACTCACTACCGGAGTCGCGTAGTCCCTGCTACAATTGGATATCAGCAGCTACTCGCGAGTAATACATATTTAGACTGTGTGTACAGACAGCCACACATACGGCTACGTATGTATGCGCTATTGGAATATATGCGGCGCTGCTACAATCGCAGAGCAGAGGAGTTTTTTTATTGATGCCGAGATGTTTGTGATTTGAATTATGTCCAAGTAGTCAAACAGAAACATTGGCGCTTTGAGCACGTATTCTCGGGTTAAACACTTCTAAGTTCAATCAAACTAACTAACCGATGCGATCCGAACAGATCCCATCAGATTGTCGCCATCAGCCATTAATTTAACTAGTTCAGTGTAAAATACTTATGGTAGGCTGCCTGTGCGTAAGGTGTACCGACGTCGTGTATTCCGATAATTAATGATGGATTATTAGCCAACGACTTTAGCCTATAACTGATGGTGATTCAAATCGCATCGCCGTTGATGGCGACTCGTAAATCAAAGCAGCAACAGTTCGCGGGACTGCTTGCAAATTAACGAAACTCCTATTTTTTATACAATTAATAACAATGGATGAATGAAATAAAAGTGATCGTAAGATTCGAATTTAAATGTGTTTAAATTATTAAAGGATACGCGACGGGTTATGTCATGAGAAAAAAAATATATGTAATGTGGATTATTGACGCTTCAATCCTGTGTTTTAAAAAATGAATAACTGAGAAAATATCAAGCTAAAAAAGAAACACGCTCTCAATAAAAAGTATTGCAATATCCAATTTAAATTCGCATAATTCGTCGATAAGCGATTACATCCATGTTTATTTCAAACTAATACGAAATACTATTTCGTTCGAAATATTATTACAAACAGAAAAACACGAGTAAATACAACAGAAACATCCATAATTTTAAAACTCAACAAAGTGAATAGTTGCCTACATTGTCACCATTTATTTAATTTATGTGATCGAGTACAACATCACGCTTCCCCAGACTAGCAGCAAATTATTACATCTATTTTCGCCGCAATAGCACAATGTCGGCATATTGACCGATCAACTGAACCCAAGTATCTAGTTCAATACGGAACAACACAATTGCTTAGAGTTCAGTTGTCAACGACGGGAACTAACCAAACGCCACCATCACTGCAAATCCATCTTGTTGCAATAAAAATATAGTAGCAGGGCGCTTTATCTTCGGCCAACAACTCACCGAAAAGAAAAAGTAACATCTGTGTGTGCCGACCAATAACAATTAGCCACCCGAATAACCGCTACGGGCATTGTGAAATTAAAGTTGAAAATTACAACCTGCAACAACGGCGACGGCGACGGCAGTTAGTGAGAATTGTGACAGTCTCGTTTGATTTATGGCTACATGCGTCTTATTGGGTCATTATATTATGTTTATAATCAATGCTATTTATAGTGAATGGTGTGCATGGTAAACATAGAATTGGTGCAAAAAATACTGCGACAATTTTACAGTTTAATATAGAATTCTTAAACTAAAGCGGAAACAAAAGATAACATACAACAAATACTAATCGTAAACGAAGAACGCGACATCCATATCTGTGCATAAGATTTGCTTAGGTGAGTTCCATCCCAATCTTATAAAATATTATATTATAAATTAATTTACACATCTTTCGGATCGAACACTGTCTTTAAACTTTCTCTGTTGTATTTAGTAATAATTTACGGATGGAGTACTTTTATCTTATATGTACGGTAAGCGTGGATAAAAGGGACGCGGTTGATCCTACCGTAGCAATAATCAGACATTTCGGTAACATCGGTTTAGAGATCTCACATACATATGTAAAGGTTTATTGTGAAATCCGTATAGGTGCAGATATTGGTATATTTTGTAAATTTGGATTACTTTATGTTTAATATATACATTTATGTTGGCCTTATCCAGTGAGTATATTATGCGCTTCAAAGCTTTAAAATGATTTCATTCCTTTACTTGAAGATTTCATCACTAACCGACGCTGATAAAATGTAATTAGTATATGGAACACAAGAGTTTCGGAAGTGAATCAACAATTAATTATTATGATTACGACGGCTTAAAAAGAAAACAATATTACTACAATAAAACCGACGGCTATTAATTGTTATATGTAATGAAGTAAATAACGGATACCGCAAATTATGTTTAGTTGCAAATAGTACGTTTTTAAAACATTATATAAGCCTAATGTGTATTTTGAAAAACAACAACTGAGTCGAAACATTGTTCAAATCAACAGTAAACACGAAAAAGCTAAGTTCGATTGCATCGAAGCTGTAATACTCTGAACAAATAAAATATTTATCCAATCAAAGACTTGATTTTAATAGCTCAGTTTGTATGAAAGCTATACGCTGTAGTAGACTGATATTTTCTAACGACTGAGCAGCGTGGCAAGAAGGAGACACGAAATTTCAAATCGGTACCTCAAAAACTGAAGGACTAGTTCACATATAATAAACGAAGCACATTGTCTCAGCTGTCATGCCGATCATTAATATATGTAGTACATATATTATAGGGTCTCGGACGTTTCCATCTGGATTTTACCAGTTTCATTTCAATACCCTGTTCAAGGTATAGTGAACTTTAAAAAAGCACACGAACACATTCACTTTTCCCTCCGCTTATAAAACTTTCCAGTTTTTCTATAAGATAATTTTAGATAATTTTGTAATTCGCAAGTACGATTTTTTTAGTATGCTGGGCGTTTTAAGTAAACGAATTTTCTTATTTACATTATTATTGTCACTTTAGATTATTTTAAAGTAAGCAACTCCAAGAAGTCGCAAATATTATCATCCGAAGGAAAAACTACATATATTGGATCTAAACTATTGTTAATTAACATTGAATATAATCGCAATCCATTGGCTTAGAAAGATTTCACTGGGGTCAAACTCATTATGATTAAAAGTATTAAAAATCGCCGTAACATTGTTATACGTCTACTGCGCTTAGGAAGGCTCGCGTGTCACTTATCGGKGAAAAACTTTTCACTTCATTAAAATGAATGCATGTGTTTTCAAAATAATTAAGATCGAAAGGGCGAATGTTGCGGGGAAAATAAAGTGAAACAAATAATATACACAAAACTATATCTCGTACGTTGCTAATACATATAAATATATATTTGCATATATATGCTAGAGAGTATACTTTACATATTAAGACAGCTCAAATAGGGCTAATAAATTTTATTCAACTATCTGCGCCATGCTAAGCAGACCTATAGTCTTATGAAACGCTGTGTACTGCATTTTGGGTAGAATACAATACGATTACGATTCGATTTACCGAGTGGAGGTAGTCCACCTCTGATGTATTGCATTTTTGGAAGACAGAGAAGTCATGCTGATCACAGTTTGAACAGTTTCTTAATGCGGGTACGCGACTAAAAAGTAGCATATGTAAGTATGCCGATGCATACCAACATAATTCAAATATATTTCGATTTAAACACTATTCAGAGAAAGCGGATGTTAACGCGCTTACTTAAATAGCAAGATATTATGCAAGAACTCCTCATGAATGTGAGTACGCAGAAGACTCTAATTTCATAATGTAAACCAAAAATGAAACGCACATGGTGTTCAAATAATATGTGCTAGTCCATAGCAGCATTGAGGGAATGAGTGAGTGAAAGTGAAAGTATTTATTTCTTTAATCCATATGTATTCACAATATGCATACATAAATAGATTGTTAAGCCAATTCTTTAAAAGAGGTAAAATTAGGCAAAAAGTCCCTTCTCGCTGTTCTTTACACACTGTGCACTTAGCAGATATCCAGCGGGTGGTATGCAAATAAATGTTCAAAGATATAAGCACTGAGGCACTCCAATTCATTTAGTCCAAACTATTGCACAATGTGGCTAAACAAATGTCATGCGTGCTAGATTAAGTCAATTACGAGAAGAGACTCACTAGAACATCGCATTGTTCGCTGATCAGAAAATGAATGGCGCCTTGATGTTTGTGTCTCATCGATTGGCAAATTTCGTCGCTTAAAAAAATCTAACTCTGTCTTTCCTTTTATTTTCTCTTATTAACAGAAATTGTTTCATATTTTTTCTGCACCACACGAAAGTGGCCGCATTAGTAAGTCGATTCAAATTTTCAAGTTAAAATTATAATCAGAACGTCAGAATCCGTTCTTCCGTTGAGCTAACTTTTACACAACAGACGCCCAGATACAAGCTTTCTTTTCTCAAAGTACCTTACCATTTTAAGTCATACATAGTATGTAATAGTATTCATCGCCAATTATATCAAAGAAATCAAACCTATATTAGGGATGCGCAGCACATAATAAAACTTCACATTTCAAAGGACATTTCACCTTAGTCCTTTTCTGGTTATAAATCAGAAATGAAAACGACATCAGACATCACGCAAGCTCTTAAGAGACTGATATTTATTGTCCTTGTTTTTTCTATGACAAACTTTCATAACGAATGCGGTGCTGCAACTTATTCGGAAAGAATTTTAAGAGCCAAATATTGTACAATAAGTGACTGAGTACATTTGTTTACATTAACGACAACGCTCAGAAGCCTGCACGCTATCCAAACGCAAATTATGTAAGGAAACAACAGCAAATGGCTCAACGAAGTTAGCAGAAAATCAAAATGTGCGAAATTCATTTCAAAACAAGAAACGATTTTGATCGGCCGGTTGTATGACAGCTATGCATATCTTATAACGGTGTGATGTGACCAATTTATTCGTAAATTGTAACATTGCTTTGAACAATAATCCATGCTAAACTTTGTGAAAATAAATTGTTAAATAAATTGGCTTTCCATACAAGGAATTGTTTCCAATTGTTTAGTATCTATCATATATAGTATATTTGCTATAATGGTCCGACAAAAGCAGTTCTCCCAAATAAGCAGCTGTTCGAGGAGACAAGGACGTGCGAAAGATTTTATTACGACATCTCAAAAACTGAGCGACTAATTCACGTATATACTGACAGACAGACAAACGGCCATGGCCAAATTAATGTAACTATGTACATGATAAAGAGTGTCCGACATTTTATTCTGGGTGCTACAAACTTCGTTGCAAACTTACTCATTTCAGAGTATAAAAATCAGAAACAAATTATTAATGAAGAAATTAGATAAACTTCATGTATAATAAAGCTTACAAACAGATACATATGTGCAAACGTAATTAAAAAACAAAGCAAGTATTACAAAACCATTATAAATTCGTTTGACACAACATTTAAAAAGGAAACTGTTTTTTATTAGTCGACTTCAACACCATAAAACAACATACTTAAAACATATTCTGAACTTGGCGCATTCATTGAGTTGTCTGTCTCAGGAATCCCACAGTTAATTATAAACCCATAAAAATTGAGTAACAACAGAATTGTTGAGTTCAATTCAATATGGCATAAAATGGAAAACAAACTCACAAAAACAAAAAGGGCACAATAACCACAACAAAGAAAACCATTATCACCCACTTCGGCCTATCCATAACCGCACATAAAGGATAACAATGGCCACCATGCAGTGCTATCTTCGCCTTGAGGAGACCCATTTCGGTTGTTCGAAACCGCACAATTACCATAAAATAAGCCATCCACCAATAATAATGACGCAAAAATTGAAAAATCATTAATGTCTGAAAATTATGAGTACGCACAATGGAAACAACGACAACCGGACAAAACCCAACATYCAGTCATAATGTATTTAAGAGGATACCAACAACAAAAACTAAGCATTCATGAGGCAAACCGAAAAATGCATAAAAAATATTTATGACTGTTTTTACGAGGTGCTTACAAATGTTTATGGATTTTTAATGGGCTGCGAACAAACACAGTAACAAGTATTCGACATGAGCTCACACTATTTGATGCCTGCCTGGTGTGGCCAACACAAAGTGTGTGAGCGGTGCGGTGAATGCGCGTGCGCAACTGCCTTGAAATTCATATTTCCATTTATGAACTGTTTGTAAATACACATCTTCTCGTATATGTATGTATATATCTACATGTAATGTGGTGTTGGTGTGTACTTACTGTATGAAGACCCATTTTGTATGCGATTGATAGTGAGCGAAACACCGCCCATATTGACAAATATGCAATAACCTTTTTTTACTTTGTAAAAAATTATGATTTATTGAATTCATAAAATCAAAGTTAAGTGTACATACATATATCGATAATAAAGATAATATAAATTAAATATATACATATTCGGGATGCTTAGCAGGTTGTACTTGCACTAGTGTATAAGTACTTTAAATATGCACTTCAGGGAGTAGTTCTCCCATATACAGACGGAGTATTGTCTCGTAATACTCATCATTTATACACAGATGTACATACAAATGTATTTTAAAGTGTCTCCGTCGCTTCACTTCTGGGTGTTACAGACTTCATGACTAATTCATATACCCTGTTAATTGTATAATATAGTATAGTCACGAGAAGCAACTTAAAAAGCATATGAGAGTGAATTTATATATTAAAAAACTTAACTGAACTCTTTCGCTTAAACTGTAATTGCAGAATTTGTAGATAATATTATTTAAAGGTTTGCATA